CAAAAACATGAAACACTAATTCACTGCCAGAAATGAAAGCAGGACCTATCTGAGCAGGAAGGGAAGAGGGCAGCACAGGTGACCCAAGTTGAAGTTGTACCAGAGGCTTCTCTGGAGGCAGATTCAATCCCAGAGTGGCAGGAGGGGTAGCCAGACCCTGTTCTAGACCCCATGCCAAGGGAGGGGAAACAGAGAAGCCAGTGGCTTAGTTCCTGGGATATCACCAATCTCAAAAATACCCTGGCAAGGACAGATGCCCAGGGGGGCCACCTTTTAAGGAGGGAGGGGTAGAGAGCCCAGAAAGAAACTTGGAGGCTATAGGGGGAATCCAGAAAGGTTCTCCTTGCTACTACTATCTGGGAGTCCTGAGGGGAATAAACTCCAAGTTATCCCTGGAAGCTGAGCTGGGCAGTGGGCAGAAACCACTTTACCGGCCTCTCCCACAAGCGGGGGTCTCAGGCCAGCCACCACTCACTTCCTCTACCATTAACCCTCTCCAGAGAAGCCAATGCTAGCCTACAGGCCACTGGGTGAAGGCCCGGCTGCCTTCTGGGGCGGTCCAGCCCTGCCTTAGATATCCCGCCGGGGCTGGGCAGTAGAGAGTGTTGCTGGAGTGTGCTGGGCCCAGGTTTTCAAGGGCTGGGAATGACTTTTTTAGAGAAAGGGAAAAGGCGGTGTCAGGAACCGAATGGGACGACCTCCACAAAGCAGGCTGGGCAAAGTCCCATGATGGCAGGTCGCTAGGAAGAGGTTCCAGGGGCGGCAGGCCGCTGCTGCTCCCAACCCACACCTGGAAAAAGGGCAGAGAGTGCAGGTTACCCCCCCAGGCCACTGGGCATGCCCCCACTGCCCTCTGGGCTCCTCCTATTCTGCCCGGGCTACTCAGCACACTACCTGGGAGAGTCAGAATGTGCTGTGATGAGAAAACCAAGGGACAGAGAAGGCAGCAGGCAGAGACAGATCCCAGCAGGCCCACCCTGGGTCATCCTTCTTGGGAAAGTCTGCCTTGCCGCTGTCTGTGAACACTGTCCATACTGGCTCCTTGGCTCTTTGCCCTACCACAGTGCATCCACTCCTCTGTACTGGTATCCAGGAACCCTGCCCTTTTGCAACCAATTAGCTAAGGAGAAGCAGCTCATCCCTGCTAAAGATTGTAGTGAGTGCCCTACAACTTTATCTTGCCCTCAGGAAGCACTGGCAGGAACTTGGCACAGGCTAGGACTGTCAACCAAGGAGAAGAAAGAGGCGTGTTTTCCATTCACACAGAAATATTCAGTGGCCAGGAAAGAAAATTCAATTTTCTGGGTACTAGCAGGACCCCTAAATACTATTCAAGCAGATGTGGGTAAGAATCTGACCCAGTGTTCCCTACCTGCTGTTACTACACAGACTGCTCAGGGGAGGGCAAGACCCTAGCTCGACAGTCCTCCAGAAACCCTGGCTGTTTGTACATATGGCTTAGGAAAGGTTAAACAGGTGCCAGTACTCAGAAGACCACCTATTCCCTACTTCCTGCACCTCCTCCCCATCCCCAACAAAGGAGCGGCCCCAGAAAGAGCACCACTGCAGTCAGATAAAAGGAAGAGTTATTGGCTGGATCATGAGGAACCCTTTCAAAATCTCAGCAGTCCCTGTGAACTGCTGGGAACCAGCAACCTGGCCCAGCAAGGTGCTGGATTCCTGGCCCAGCAGGTGCTGGATCCCCCAGGACAACACTTGTGCAATGTAGTCCACCATCGAAGGAGCCAACGAACACCAGGAGAAGGAAGCCAAGCAACGGAGTAAAGATGAAGACAGGAGGAGAACCAGGACCAAGCAACCAGGAAGGACGGAACACCAGTCAGGGAAAGAAGGAGGACTGAGATAAAGAACAAAGGAGGGGACAGGAAGGATAGAGACAGAGCAGGGAGGTATGCAAAGCAGTGGTCAGTCAGCAGGCCCCAGCACACACAGCACCTCGCTCATGGGCACAGCTGAGAGAATAGCAACATTCTTCCGCCCATCTTTACCCTGGCCCAACCCCTACCTGACACTTGTGAGGCCGCTCAGAAGTGTGCACCTGCTTGATATGTCCATTCAAGTGATCGGGCCTGAAAAAAAGAGAGCCAAGAAGGACTTTAAAACAACATATCAGCCAAGTATGGTGGTGTATGACTGTAATCCCCGCACTCAGGAGGCTGAGGCAGGAAGATCCAGGCGAATTCAAGGGCAGCATGGATTACATAGTGAGTTCAAGACTAGTCTGAACTACACAGTGAGACCTTGTCTCAAAAATAAATAAATAAATAAATAAAACAAGATTTCAAGATGGGGCACAAACTTGATTGGGCCAAATCCCACCACCCAAATCCACTGCTGGAAAAAATCCCTCTTCCTCCACCCAGTACGACAAAGACAATCACCAACCAGCTCTGGCTCCATAGGCCTAGGCTTTTCTGCCCTGGTTTTCTCTAGAGGGGGAAGGGAACATTTGTCTCTGATCTTGCCTATGTTCCCCACCCCCCAGCAATTCTCCCTAACAGAAACTCAAAAGATTTCTAGGACTGGAGGCTGCAGCTTTAAAATGAAACAGGGCTGCCTTGCTGCAGCCTTCCCGGGAGGGGGGTGGTGTGATTCATTGTCCAGACTAAAGCCCCTTACAAACTCAGTGTTCCCCTCCCCCAGCCTCTCCCGCCACAGCAGCCAATGAATGCCACCCGGATGGAATTCAGTCCCCAGAGGCCATCGATGGAGCCTTAAGTCCCCAGCTGGGCTGGTAAGCCAGATGCCCGCCAAAGCAGGTGGGCAGAAGCTGCCTGACCGGTAAGACTGGTTCCTGTGGGGCCTCTTTGAGGGAGTTCAGCATCCCTAGGTTCACACACAAGGTCCTCAGGATTCAAGTTAAAATCACCTTTCTATTCTGACAATTCTCTATAAGAAAAACAAAACAGCCTTCTGTGTACAGCCAAGTCCTCAGTTCCTCACAAGGCTCACCTAGAAAGTAAATCTAAAAAGTGGTCTTGCCCTCCTTCCAATCTGTCCAGAGAACATATGGAGGATCTGTGGGTTCCTAGGGCTCTGGAACCACCAGGTCTGAGCAGATTAAAGATTATGGCATTATAAGGCAACTCTGGGTGCCTGGCTCTGTATCTGGATCCCAGAGTCATGTGAGATGCAAAGCTGGAGCCTACTAGATCCAGGATCCCTAGTGCCCTGTGCTGGAGGGTCTGGTGCCTTGGGAGTGTAAGGAGTCCCAGATGCACTTGTTCCAGTTCCTCCCTCCACAGCCATTCGGAAAGGAAACTCGAGGGAGGAGCCCAGCCTCCTGCCCCCAAAACAGGGCCCCATGCCTGGTGCCAGAAACACAAAGGGATCCTAGGGAGAAGAATGGCAAGGCCTAGTGGCTGTGGCCTGAGAAATCCAATCCCTTCCCACAGGCCCCAAGGAGGAGAGACAGTAAGGCAAGCTTACTGCCAAAGAACTTGCCTAGAGGAAGAGAAAGCAGCTCTTGGCCACACCATCTCAAAAAGAGGGCCCTTAAGACACTTTCTTAAAACTGGCATGGACCTTCAAGGACTAGTGACCCACCCCACAACAGGTTCCACATCCCCAGGTCTGGGAACTGTCTCATGAGCTGGGACTAAGAAGAGGGTGGGGGCTGCCCTTCTCACCTGGAGAAGCCTTTCCCACAGCTCTGGCAGATGTAGGGCTTGCCCACAGACCCATCATGGGACCGCACATGGTAGGACATGCGGTCTTTTCGCTTGAACCGCAGCCCACACACGGGACAGGAGTAGGGCTTCTCCCCTGAGTGGGACAGCTTGTGCCGGTTGAGATGATACACGTCACGGAAGATCTTGCCGCAGATCTCACAAGCCACCTGCTTCCTTGCCCGGCTCCTCTTTCGGGGCCCATCGGGGTCCTCAGAGATGGGTAGCCCATTCTCTCCCAGCCTTGGAGGAGGAAGATCGATGTAGCCCAGCTGGAGGCTGGTGACACCATGCTGGGCCTCATGCTGCCGGAGCCGGTTGGCATCAGTAAACACCTTCCCACACAGGCCACAGGGAAGGATGCCTGCCTCCCTTAGGCCCCCAGGAGACCCTAACATTGAGTCCAGCAGGTTGGCCTTCCTTGGGCGGCCCCGGCCTCGCTTCCCAGTCAGTGGAGGGGTGCTGGATGCCACACTGGGGAATGGGGAAGTCAGCAGTTGAGGGGACAAAGGTCCAGCCACCATGGGCAAGCGGTCCACCCCAGGTAACACAGGCAAGGAGGCTTGGCTCGAAATGGCTGCACCAGCAGCTCGGGCAGCTTCCTCTTCAGGCTGCATGCTGCCTGCGATGCCATTGCTGTTGGCAGCCAAGGCTGCCCCGTTGGTCATGTCCAAAGGGAAACCCAAGTCAGAAGTCCCGGGGGGCCGAAAAAGCATGATGTCTGCCCGGGCAGGGGGCACCAGGATCTGCACGTTAGACTGTTTGATGACTTCCTGGCAGATCTCGATGACCGACCTCATTAGCAGGAACTTGGCAGCCGTCATGAGCTCGGGGAAGCTCTCCAGGCGGACCACGATGCGGGAAGTATAGGCAAAGTCCAGAATGTCTCCAAACACCTTGGAGCTGATGGTGTGCATCTCAAGCTCTCGGCTGCCCCCGGCCCCGCCGCCTGGGGCTGCCGCTGCGCCCCCGACATCAGTGGGACCCCCGTCAGCAGCTCCGCCGTCGCCCAACTGGGCGCTGAACACCGACTCAAAGTACTCGCTGCAGGCGGCCAGGACGGCGCGGTGGGCTGGGAAGCTCTCATCGCCTACCCGCAGGAGCACGTCGCAGAAGCGCCCGCCGTTTTTGCGCTGCTGGTTCAGATTGTGCAGCATCTCCGTACTGTGTCTGCTCACCTGGTAGGTGTAGCAGCCCGACGGGCCGCAGGAAGCGTCGTTTACCCGCTCCATGGCCGCCGCCCCCTCCCCACTTGTCGGGCCGCGGCTCCCGCCCGCCCCCTCCCTTCCCCTAAGCAGCAAGAAGCCGGGCTCAGCGGAAGTGTCCACACTCTCCACACGTGCGGGCCCGGGGCTCTGTAGTCTCGCAGGTGCGCCCAGCGCACACGCCCCCTGCCCGGATCGCAATGTCTAGACTAAGTACACCACCCCACACATAGCTACCCCCACCCACGATGGATCCCACGCGGCTCTCTCCTCTCAGCCTGCCCGCCTCCCCTTCTTCTACCTTCCGGGAGGGGGGGGGTACGCGAGCAAAGAGGTGCGCCCCTCCTGCTAACGCGCCTGCCACCTCCCCTCCCGCCCGCCAGGCGGCGCCGGCGCGCGGCCAAGAGGCGCGCGCGCACGTGGGGAGGAGGAGGAGGGGTCTTGCGCGCAGGCGCGCGCGCGCGTTCCGCGGCTTTTCCCGGGCCCGCTGGGGGCGCGCGCTGCGTCCCCTGCAAAGCGCGAGCCGAGGCGGGGGCGCTGGAGCAGAGGAAACAAAAGGCGAAGGCGGCGGCGGCGGCGGGGCGCGCAAGGGGGCGGTGGCACGGGCTAGGTCCTGGAGTCTGACGGCGGCGGCTGCGGCAGCTGAAGCAAGCGGGTGGCGGCGGCAGCAGGGTTGGTCCTTCCCCAGGCCAAGCGAAGGCGGCGGCAGAGCGGCGGCGCTGCGGCCCCGGGCTCCGTGTGTTCGGAGCGGAGGAAAGATGGCAGCGGCTGCACTTCCTCTTGCACTTTCACCCCTGGGGGGAGGAGAAGGAGGGGGCGATACCAACAACACCCCCCCCCCTCGCTTGCAGAAAAAAAAGAAACGGCTAGCTCGGCGTGGGGGCCCTGGTCCTGCACGTGTGCGCCCGGGTCCCTAGTCCCGGTCGCCCTGCGCTGCAAACTTTCCACTTTCTTTGTGCTGAGCGGCCCCCCCCTCATCCAGCCGAGGATGCACGTCCCCCCTTCCCTATTTATACACCCCCCCCCGTAGCTCCGCTCCCCCCTCCCCGCTTCCTGCCCCCCTCCCCATTCCCCAGCTCCGCCAATGCTAGTGCAGCCTGAGCCCCCGTCCGGCCCCCGCCTCCCCACCCCGCCCGCGGGTCCGGGGGCTGCAGTTTCAGCACCCCCTCCCCAGACCAATGCAAACGTAGCTCTCCAGCCAGCAAACCAACTCCCGCTGCCCCTCCCCTGCCCGCGAGAGTGGCGGCCAACGAGCGAGGTGGGGGCATAAGGGTGCAGATCCCGGGACCCCAGTCTTCTGTACGCACCCGCTGGTCAGTCTGGCGTCGATACCCTTCTTTATCCCCGTTTTGATGTGCGAAATCTCCAGTAGTCGCTTGCGATTGCCTCCCTGTTTGCAATCCCAGATAGGGCCCGGGGTCTCGCCCGGGGGCAAACCGAACCCCGGTAGCTGCTTCTGTACCCCAAGCAGTAACCGTAGTGAATGGCTTGCGCACCTGAGAGAGCTGGGAAGATGAGGGCGGCGGCCAGTCTCCCCCAAACCACCGCACCTCGAGCTTTGTGCCTCGGGGAATGGGAAGTCACCAGCGCAGGAAAACGACCCCATGAGGGCAAAGGACCGGAGCAGGATGCCCAGCGCATCCCAAGTCTCCAGGGAAGTAGGGGTACTGGAGATCTTGGGGAGCAGCCTCCACCCTCCCCAAACCCGGTGTATCCTTTGCGCACTCAGTCCCGAGAGACGCCAAGCGCTCTGGCCAGTGGCCCCGCCGCCAGGCCCGGGCGCTTTGTCCCCTTCGTGCTGCCGCGCGAAGGTTGGACACCGAGATTCGCCAGCCCAGGAAGCGCTGGCAGCCGTCGCTGAGCCTCGTGGCTCAGAGCCTGAGGCTGCTGGCGGGAAGTTCCCACAGTTGTAAAGAGGGAGCGAAGTATGTGTTCCAAACTTTCCACGGTTCCAAACTGAGCGCTTCCATTAAAAGAAGCGGTGTGTGGGGAAAAGCATTCTGGGTATTAGCATGCAAATGAACAGGCCCGGCTTTCAACGCGGTTCGGGATTCCCACCAACGCAGCGCGCCTAGTTTGAGCCCAGCCGCGCGCACCCTGGGGCTTCCGGGTGTGGCGCCGCTGGGGGACCTGAGTTCAGATTTTAGACCTGCGCCCTCTGGTTGTGTGTCCTGCTGCCAGTCGCTTGACTCCTGACCCTCAGTTAAAGAATCAGTGCCCTAACCTGTACACACCAGAGACAGGTGCGGCTGTCTCCTCAGGTGAAAGGGATTCAAAGATCATGTCTGCTCCGAGAATGTGCTGAACTCCTTCCTGTTGACCAGTGAGGCATGAGGACTGTTTCTGAACCTGGAGATTGGAGATGAGTATTCTCACACCCAAACTTGTCTCAGGTTACTACTCCCTTAACCTCTCAGCTACAGATTCTGGAAACGGGCAGGGCAGTTTTATTTTTTCTAAAAGTGCTGCTGGGAGCAATTGCAAAGGGATCTGATTATTGAGTGTCCACTAGTATAGTATATCCTCTCTCCAAGATATTGTCATTTAGTACAGGAGAAATCAGGAAATGAGTGACTTGCCCAAGGCTACACACGGTGGTGGAACTAGGATCTGAATAAGACTTGAGTGACCCCTTTCCTCATCAGTGGCTTCTGAACCTCACCAGTGTCTCCCATGAACCATGCACTGGGTCTGTCTGCCATGCTTACAAAACAAGGTGCCCTAGCTAACTGCATTGTAGAGACTCATCCTGGAAAGGTAAGTTCATCAGATGCTCCCAGAGTCCTCATCCACAGTAGTCTGATAAAAACAGGGAAGAAGCATTGGCCCCATTGTGCTCGTAAGAAACCTAAATTGAAGTTCAAGGAACCTAAATAGCCCAGGGTTCCATTTTGGGGAAGTGGCCAGAGACAGGTTCAGAGGCCACTTCTGATCCCAGCCTCCGGCTGCATGTTTAGCTCAATGATAAGAGTGCTTGGTTGGTGTACACAAGTCCCTGGGTACAGTCTTAGCTTTGCACACAGCACAGAGAATATGCTCATCCCAGCCCAGAGCTTTTGCCTACATGACACCTTGGCAATATAATTGATCAAGGTCCAAAAAGTAATTGTGTCAACTTCATTTATTTCTGTATTTTCAGTCTTGACCAGCTCTTGGGCTTCATGATGTAATGTCAGTAACTTCAAGTCTTCACCAATGTGCTTATAAGATAAACATCTTTTATTTAATCGAGGTGAAATTCACATGACAAAATTTACTACTTTAAAGTTTATAATTCACTAGCACTTATTATTTTCACTATATTGTGTAACAGCCACCTTTGTCAAGGTACAAAACACTTTGATTACCTCAAAAGAAAAATATACCTAGTACAAAGTCACTCGTTTGGCTATGGTAATAGTCCAGTGGTAGAAGCCTTGCCTAACGTGCAAGAGGCCTTTGGTTCAATCCTTAGCACAGACAAAAAGAAAAATTCCCTCCTTATTCCCCTTCCCCTTTTCCTCCTGGCAACCAGCATTCAGCTTTCTGTCTGTAGAAATGTATCTATTCTGGGTATTTCATATAAGTGGAATTGTATATGTACCTTTTGGCTTCCTTAGCACAATATTTTTGAAATTGATCTGCATTGTAAAAGTATCAGTACTGGGGGCTGGGGATTTAGCTCAGTGGCATAAGCACCTGCCTTACAAGCAGGCAGTCGTGAGTTGGATCCCCAATACCGATAAAAAGGAAAAAGACAAAAAAAAAAAGTATCAGTACTTTATTCCTTATCGTGGCTGAATAATATTCTATTGTGTGGCCATACCTCCTTTATCTGTTCCATTTATTGATGCTACAATGATGATGAATAGTGAACATTTATTAAAAGTGTTTTATTTTCATTTCTCTGGGGTAGATACCCTGAAATAGAAATTCTAGGTCATATGATAAATCTATGTCTAACTTTTCATGGAACCATCAATTTATTTTCATAGTGGATAGACCACGCAGATCTTTCTATAATTCCATGTATGGTCAAACCTCTCCTGTTAGGGATAAGATGTTAAGGCTGGAGACTGTCTGGACTAAAATCAAACTACCTTGACTTCCTGGCCTTTTGACCACCACCAACTTCCATCCCACACACCCTGTATAAAGTGCTAGACTACCTACCTGAGCAGTCATTGATTGACTTGACAAACCTCTCCAGTGAACCACTGAGTTACCCAGTCTTTCTCCTTCAACATCTGTTGAAAGAGCTTAGCACCCTGTCTCCAATTTCTAGGCCGCACCTTGAAAAAGTGCAGAGCTCACAATCCTCAAGTCTGCCTCCTGCTGCTGAACCTTCTGTTGCCATAGAAACCACACACCTTAGTTTGGCTGTACACTAGCTGTATCATTAACTGAGAGTATCCTAATCTCCGGGACTGAGTGGAGCTGTCAAGGTCATTCATTCATTCACTAGATTGATACTGATTAAGCACCTACTAAGCACCAGCTTCTTCCCCTACCTGAGGTGAGAGCTTTAGCACTGAACAAGCTGGACTACAGACCCTACCCTCAAGGATCCTGAAGTCTCAGGGAGAAGATAGACAACAAGGAAACAATAAGCCCCTTTCCTGGCTCCCTGCCCCAGCTCAAATCCTCCCATCCTTTTGGGCCCTGCTCAAATCCATTAACCCAGACCATCCTTTTCAAGAGCCTAGAGCCAAATGGTTTTGGCTCTCACAGTACTTTTCTTCTTTTTTTCTGATTACAGAAGTGATATATACATTGCAGAAAATGTAGAAAATATATGAAAGCACCAAGAAGAAAAATAAATCAGCTGTGGTGGTGCATATCTGTAATTCCAGCACTCTGGAAGGATCACAGGTTTGAACCCAGCCTGGGCAACTTAGTGACTTAGTGAGACCCTGATTCCAAATAAAAAAATAGGGGGCTAGGAATTTAGCTCAGCGGCATAAGTGCCTACCTTGCAAGTATGTGGTCGTAATGAAGGACTAGGAATGGACCTCAGTATGAAAGCTCTAGGTTTATTCTCTAGTGTCATACACACACACACACACACACACACACACACACACACACACACACGAAAAAGGAGAAGGGGGCTGGGGATTTAGCTCAGTGGCATAAGCACCTGCCTTGAAAAAGGAGAAGAGGGGCTGAGGGTTTAGCTCAGCGGCATAAGCGCCTGCCTTGCAAGCAGGCAGTCGTGAGTTCAATCCCTGGTACCGATAAAAATGAAAAAGACAAAAAAAAAAAGAAAAAAAAAGGAGAAGAAAGAAAGATTTTTTTTTTTTTTGAGACAGGATCTTGTTCTGTAATTGAGGCTGGTCTTTAACTCACTGTGTAGCACAGAATGGCCTTAAACTAGTGGCAGTCCTCCTGCCTCAGCCACCTGAGTGTTGAGATTACAGCTGGGCCCCACTTTAATTTCTTTAATTTCACCATCAAGAGTTAAGTGCTAGGGCGGGGATTTAGCTCAACAGTATAAGCGCCTGCCTGGCAAAGCATGACATTGTGAGTTTGATCCCAAGTACAAAAAAAAAAAAAAAAAAAAAAAAAGTTAAGTGCTGCCAGAATTTCCTTTTGATTTTCTATATATATTTTTTTCCTTTAATTAATTAATTTATTTATTGGTAGTACTGAAGATTGAGTTTAAGACCTTTACACTGTATTACAACCCGAGCTCTTCTGTGTGTGTGTGTGTGTGTGTGTGTGTGTGCACATGCATGTGTGTGTGTTATGGAATCTCCCTAATTGCCAAGACTGGGCCTGAATTTGTGATTCTCCTGTCTCAGCCTCCCAGAATACTGAAGTTACAGACATGCATCATCATGCCCTGCTATTTCTTTCATTTTTTAAAATAAGAGGCAGTTGTCCAGGCTGACCTCAAACTCACAATCCTCCTCCCCCAGACTTCTGAATAGCTGGGATTATAGGTATGTGCCATCATACCTGGCAGCAGCTGCTTCTGCTTCTTTTTGCAGTGTTATTGGCTCCTAGTTTGTATACTGCTTCATAATCATGCTTCATAAAAAATGTTTATTTGGGGCTGGGGATTTAGCTCAACGGCATAAGCGCCTGCCTTGCAAGCAGGCAGTTGTGAGTTCAATCCCTGGTACTGATAAAAACGAAAAAGACAAAAAAAAAAAAAAGTTTATTTTATTTATTTAGTCTTTTTGAGACAGGGTCTTGTTATGCAGTTCAGGCTGGCTTTGAACTCACTTTGTAGCTCAGGCTGTCCTCAAACTCTCAGTGATCCTCCTGCCTCAGCCTGTCAAATGCTGGGATTACAAGCACGAGCCACCATGCCCCGCTAAAAATATATTTTTTTCCAGAAAGTTTTGAGAGTTCCCCAAAAGCAAGGACAAAGTTGATAAGAACAAATATTAAGCACTAACAGTTGCAGCCACAGGACTGCGAGCACTTCTTGGTTTACCCTCTGATACAACTCCATGGGGTATCTACTTGGATGATGCCCAGTTTCCAGATTAAAAAAACAGAATTGGCCAGCTAAGGAAGCCCAGAATTGGGCAGCAAGGCAGGGATGTGGGGGATGAGGGGAGAGCTCTGCCTGTCTGCTCCTGAGCTTTCCCCAACAGCCAGACTACCAGACTTAGC